TGGCTGCTCGTACAGACACACCTTATTCATGACCTACACAACTGCTGGCGAACAGGTAAGTCTTTTGACAATGCCCTTTGCTTCAGGATGTGCCCGTTGGTAGAGAACTTGGACTCTTGACTTGCTTTTCACGTTTCTGAGCCCTGGCGAGATACCTTTTCAGGCTGCTTTACTTTTACATGGCCCACGTTGCTTAGTTACAAGGCCTGAGGCCTACATTGGGTGAAAAAGGCCCTTTCATTTGCATTCTAAGTTTCCGAACCTATGAGGGAATCAAAGAGCATAAGCATGGCTCACTTACCACTCAGGCTTCAGCCAAATCAATATGCCCACGAGCATGACACCAATCGACTGGATCATATCTCCTATGACGTGCACATAAGCTGCTTTGAGATTGATGTTCTCTGTAACAGAATGTGCAGCTGCCAGATCATCTGGACCTGCAGACACACAGACACAACCACACAAACATATAAATCCATGCATGCATGCACCCACACAGACTGTGTCAGACTAGTTTCTCAGACTTACTGCTGCTCTTGTCAGGGGTTTGGATCAACAGTCTGCTAGGATTGCAGGGTTGATGTGAGTAAAGTCGACCACTTTTCTCATTGGTATCGCTAACTCTGGGACATATGGTGAGTCCTTATCCATCAGTCAAATGAATCCTGGGCAGACTGTCGGGATTCAACCTCCTGATAAGTTGGTGAAAGTCCGACGAAACAGTCTGGCACAGTGAAGCTTTTTAGAGTGTATATCCGATATGACAACACACACACACACACACACACACACACACACACACACACACACACAATCAGTTTTATGTCTATCAGTCTTTCTCCTGTTGTCTGTCCTCCCTCTGATTTTTTGTCTGTGTGCCCAACTGAGCACCCTTAAGTAGTGCCAAACAGTCGGTGGTTCCTCTTTTGGAGTGCCTACCGCACTCTTAGGGGGGCCGCTTGGCTCGGGATGTCTGTGTCGCCTGTGGGTGGTGGGAACCAACAGTCTGCGGGGTTCAGTCGTGATGTGAGTAGGTCATGTCCCTGCTTTGCTCCGTGTTGGATGTGTGGACTGCCTTGTCTGCACTCCACTGCTGCCTTGCTGCCTGTCCCGCCTGCTTCGCATGTGGTTCTCTGCAGGTTGCTGTGTTCGCTGTGTGGTGTGGCCATGTTGTTGCTGCTCCACTGTCTCGCCGCCCATCCGCTGGCCGTGCCTTCTGTGTTTGTTGCTTGCATGCCTTGTAGTTTGGTTGCCTTGTCGGTGTTGCCTTGTGCTTCGCTGCACGGTTGCCGGGCTGCTTGTCTGCTCGCCGTCCCTTGCAGCGTGGTGGCCTTGCTTGTGTTGCCTTGTGCTTCACTACACGGTTGCTATACTGTTCTTCCGCTTGCCGTGCCGTTCCTTGCAGTCGTCTTTGGCATTGTGCAGCCGTGTTGCCTCTACTGCATTGCCTGGTGCTCCGCAGGGTTGCTGCCCACTGCTATGTTCCACTTGGGGACAGTCCGCCTTCAACATGGGTCAAAGGGTGCTTCACTACACGGTTGCTATACTGTTCTTCCGCTTGCTGTGCCGTTCCTTGCAGTCGTCTTTGGCATTGTGCAGCCGTGTTGCCTCTACTGCATTGCCTGGTGCTCCGCAGGGTTGCGGCCCACTCCCATGTTCCTCTTGGGGACAGTCCGCCTTCAACATGGGTCAAAGGGTTAATGACCCAAACCATCAAATACGGAGATTCTGGGTTCGGCCTCCTGATGAGTCGGTGCAACTCCGACGAAACAATCTTGTTACCATCAGTTTTTTCGGTCATCAGTTTTTTCGGTCTTTCGTTTCTTTAGACTTGTATTTTTTGGTTTGCCTGTTTCATGTTCTTGCGTCGTCTGCCCTCCTGCCTCCTCTGTGCCTTCGAGCCTTTACTCTCTGTTGCTGCCGGTCATTCTATGCCTTGTTGTCCTATGTTGTTGTGTCCACCCACCTTCCCTTTGCCCTCTGCCTTTGCTCTTTGTCGTTGCTTCGTGTCACATGTCTTTTCCTTCGCTGTCTTTCATTTGCCTTCCCCTAGTACTTGCTGTGTACTGTTTGTTTGCCCGCACGCCTCCCCCTTTCCCCCCCCAGCCTGTGTGACGTGATGTCGTTATTTGCCTTGCTGTTCGTTGTGTGCATTGTTGCTGGCTGTCAGTTGCCTTGTTCTATTTGACTGTGGCGTTGGCTCATGGTTTCCCTTGGGCTCGAGTCCTTGTGTCTTGGTAGGGTTGGTGAAAGATAGAGGCCGCTGCATGCCATGATCATGGTACAAGGGGCAATAAGGACCCGGAGGTTTTCAGATACTCGATGCCCATGTGAGTGACTTGTTGTATGGGTCTTTCTAAAATGGTGTGAAAAGCTTCACATACCCTAAACGCAACCCGCCGCGATTCGCATCGCGGCAGCGTTATGGTTAATTAAACACGCACGCACACACAGTTCAACTAGAGCGTGGATGTATACAGCCCTAAGGACGTACATGATATACACGGCAGGCTGGAAGAAGTGAACTACACATATAGATATACAAGGAAGAGAGGCTAGAGATTTGCGAAAAGGGCTTGCAAAGGGTTAAAAAGGGTTTCATGCAGTGATAGCCAAGATGGTTGAGAATGCACATGGACAAGACATTCAAAAGTTGAGAGAGAAGGGCGGAGTCCAGAACAACTGCAGGAGCAACAGGGTAAAGAAAAAAAAGAGAATTGTATCATAAGAGTTGTGGTACAGGAGGTGTACACCCTCCACACTCTCAATACTTATCCTGCCCGTATGAGAGGTGTACACCCTCTGTTCTCAATACGAGGAGCCCCTTCTTTACATGATACCTTTTTTTTTTTTTTTACACCATGCCCTCTGTTGTAAAAAAAAGGAAATTCTTTTGGTGGGCGACGCCGGCCATTTTGGTCCGCTTGCACTGTTCGTCAGAAGCAGCCTTGATGCCCCAATTTTGATTCTCTCAAGTTTGCCTGGCACTGGCCGGTACTGGCCAGTCCCGGTACTGCCCGTTCAAAGCAGCTGGAAGATGAACTGCAGTTGCGACACAAGACACACAAGGCCTGCGAAAAAAATAAAACAACAACAACCACGTATCAATTATAACGATGTGCTTCACCTTCAATATTGAGCGACTTACCGCCATTTTCGCTGTAAGCGATCCCTCCATGGCCAGCACCTTGTTGCACTTGGGGACCATCGCTGACTGCTCTGCCAGCAGCCGTCGTCCATCTGCTTTGCACGTCATCACCCATGCTATCCGCTGTATCTGATATCGGATATGCCCCGCCACATTGTTCTACGCTGATAACCGTTTCACCCTCATCGCCTCCAGTTATTGCATGATTGTTGGACTCAGGCTCGGCGGATGCAAGGTAGGGACGTGGCATGCCTTTCAACTTTGATCTGTTCCTTCTACATGGCATCCCAGTGTCGCACGCACCACCATGGCCTCCGATTGGTGAGTTCTCTTGGTCATCACTGTGAAGGGCTGCATAACCTTTTGTGGAGCTGGACTGCCACAGTGCTGTTGCAACTCCATTGCCGTTTTGGTGGGGATGACAGTGCTCACTGTCGTGGTGATGATGGTCATGACCGAAACCGTGCGAGTGAGTTCCGTGCCCATGGGAATGCCCGAGCAGAACGGCCTGCAACATATTCACTCCGACTCCGAAAGCAGAAGTCAAAAACATAGTAAAGCCTTCCACCTGATGATTGCCATTTAAAATCCTGCGCCAAGCAAGCATGCAATTGTGATTCAATCCCACAATCAAGTACACATAGCACACGTTTCCAGTTCGTTAACGAAAGGTCAGGTTGTCTTTTAAAAAAACAAGAAAAACAAACAGCACAAGGATTGCTGCTTCCATATCTCTGAATCCTTTCTTGGTTTCAGGTTAAATCTGGCAGGTGTGGCAGGTGTTGGACTCTCATGCTTTTTTCTTTTTTTTGTCTTAAGCTATAATCTTCTCTCATATACCTCATGCTACGTAACCCGCCCTATCAACGTCGTAGATGCATTTTTTTTGAAAGTTGCAGCCAGGGAGTGCCCTAAGCGTTATGGGTTGACACCGACCTCCACCCGTGCCAGAACACCGCCGCAGTTTCCTAACACCTGGCGCGAGCTAGAAGGCGACTTCAAACACCTCCTAACCCACTACCGTCTTCAGCCGAATAGGACACCCGGTCATTATGGCTGCATCTGGACCGAAAGTTGCCCCAAATACGGCTGTAATGACTGGGCATTCTATTCGGGTGAATACGGTAGGAGGCTAAGGAGGGGAAAGCCAACTATGCCAGCTGGTGAACCCGAAGTGTGCCTGTTGCATACTCGTGAATACTTCAACACGTATGGGCAGAACCAAGAGATCAACCAATATAGGATGAGCATGTATGCAGCGGAAGTCTGATAAATGGACTGACTCATATAGACTGACTCACACAGATATCACTCCACACACAAACAATCGTGAGATGGTGGGGTCTGAGCCAATCATAGACGATGCTCAGGCCCCGTACAATCATACACAGATGAAAGGTGGGAGGAGAGACGAAGGAGGTGGGAGATGTAGGCAGCACCAGATGTCACCGAGATAGAATCCAGTAGGTCACCGATATGGTAGTCCAAAATGTCATGGAACAAGATCAAAATGTCGTGGACAATAAGTCACCAATGTCGGAGGTACAGAGTCCTAATGTAAMCGGTGTCCRATCTGTGATGCCGCCGAGTATCAACCCCAACAATCTCCAAGTCTCGAATCCGGTAAGTACCACAGCCTCTTACCACCGAAGTCCAACACTGATCTCTGTCCAACTAGTATCAAGTCTCCAATCTGAAGGAGAAGGAGAAGTCTGAAGAAGAAGAAGAAGAAGAAGAAGAAGAAGAAGAAGGAGAAGAAGAAGAAGAAGAAGAAGAAGAAGAAGAAGAAGAAGAAGAAAGAAGAGCAAGGTGGCAGAGGAGGAGGAGGAGATGGTGAGGTAGGGAGGAGAGATAACCTCGCTGCCCTGTCCCGAATCCAGGCCTCACCTGCAGGTACGCGGATGCCGCTGAAGACCTGCGCAGCTGGAGCTATGGCGCCTCAGGTAAGTGCCAGGTAAGTTCCCCGCTGCTCCTCGACTCCTGTGCAGTCCAGCGCTAAGAATAGCGCTGCTGCCTCCAGCGCTGTGCGCTAACCAAAATAGCGCAGCGCCTCGAAATGCCGCTGCTCCGCTCTGAACCGAAACGAATGGCGCTCAGCAGCGTCCCAGTGCTCGATGCCTCACAATGAGGCTGGACCGGTATTAAGTACCGGTGGAAAAGAGGCCGGCCTCAATGCTGCGAGGCCTGGCCGTGATCTGAAGCGTCCAGATCGACGGTTCAGACCAGACCGGCGGGCGGCAGCCTCAAGAGCGCCGCCAGGCCCAAACGGTAATGTCGTTTGGGCCTGCCCGTTGGGTCTGGTCCGTAAGTGGCCTAAAAGGGCCAACCGGAGGCCTAGAATGGCTCCGCCGTGGTAAAGGTCCGGCCTTGGGCCTGGACTGGCCCCTGAACCCCAATCTGTCGGGCCTACCCAGGCCTGTGTGACACAATGTGTAACAGTGCCCCAGGGGGCTGTGGGGGATCGAATGGACGGCGTAGGAATCGAACCCACGACCTCCTGACTGCCACTTATGTGCTCTACCAACTGAGCTAGGCCGCTGGCGCCGTGCTTTCTTGTTCTCTGAGCTGGTGCTTTATTCGTGTATCGTTCTTCTTCTTGTGCACTTTGACTTGGTGCGCGATTCTTTTCCTGTTTTGTGAGCGTAACCGAGTGGGTGTATTGGTGTATCCTTTTCCTCCGTTCTCATTGAAATCAGACTCGCTCTCATTCACACTTTGCATGCATGCAAACAGGTGCGCAGCAAACTGGTGACACGCGCCCACTCAAAACTCAGAGATATGGTAGCCAAGAACACAGTTCAGGTACAAGTTCACTTCAATGGCTATGGCGACTCAGCGCCCACACAACTCTCTGTTCGCACACACAGGGACCACCCTGGATATCCCCCACGCGATGCTCTGTACACACACACACACTCACACACGATACACTCTATCTACAGCTATGGCGGCTATGGCCGCTGCTACCCTATCGCTATGGCTAAGCTCCTTCTCTCTCGCCCACTTCTCGCTCGGGCTCACTGCAGACCACCTCGCACAAGTCGCTGTAGCAGCGCTTCCGCATGGCTCACGCAGGAATGAATGAATGGCTGGGGGCTGCCCTTTGATTTATACTTCTGCAGCTCGTTGGTCTGGCCCTTTCCCATGCCCGTAGTGCACACAGTCCCATGCGGTACTTGCTTGACTGGACTAGGACTGACTGGGACTGGGACTGCTGACTCAGCACGGGTAGACTCCACCACTTGCCCACTTGCCTCAGCCTAAACATGGGCAACTTTGAAAGGCCACTACTCG